AAAATAACAATCTATTTGTTTTTATATTTTAAAAATATTTTTTTAATTATAAAATTTTATATAATTTTAATGTGATAATATTAACAATTAATTTTAAAAAATATTTTAAAAATAATAATTAAAAAAAAAAAAATAATTTAAAGTTAATTTTTTTATTTTATAACAATAGAGTTAAACTGCAATGCCGAATACTTTATTAATATTATCCATATAAACTGATAAGTTTTTGTATTCTAATATAATGTAAAAATAAATATATAAAATATTCTTGACAATTTAAAATAATGATAAAAATATATATTTTTAATTAAAATTTTTTAATTTTTATTTTTATCTTATTATGTGTTGGTGTGAGAATTTTGCTTATCAAAATATTTATTTTTCATTAGTAAAAAGTTATCAAGATTATAAAAGTATATTTTAATAAAAAATAATGTTTTGATTATCATTTTGCTAATATATTAAAAAAAACACCAAAACTTCTTAAGGTTTATTTTTTTATTTAACCATTGGGCAATAAAAAAGATAATAAATAAAACTTGAAAAAAAAAAAGACAAACCATAAAGGGTTAGGAAAAAAAAAAGACAAACCATAAAATGATATTCAAAATATAAATACAACTGGAATATATTTTAAAAAAGACAAATTTTAATATATTTTAAAGTTATTTATTTTAATGAAGTTTAATATGAAAAAAAAAGTCTATAATGGGCTAAAAAACACAAGCTAGGGTGCTGGGCCCAGGGCCATATGTGCTTGGTCATAGAATCAAAAAGCCATATGCATGCAACTGTAAGGCCAGCCTCGCACATCTTAGTTTTGTTTTTAGGCCAAGTTGCTTGCTTTTTTTATATATAACAAAAAAAAAAAAAAAAAGTTAACAGGCGATACATCATCTGCATGATTGTAGAAGCTCAAGCAAACGACGGAGATCAAACCCTAGGAACGCCAAAGATAGTGGTCTGATTTTCATTTTTTTTTCCGCCTTGATTTCTAGGCGACATTTTTTCATTATATGTTTTTAATTGCAGAAGGCATTGAAATAGCGTTGGATTGTGAAGGGGATGGTGGAGTCACTCCAAGCAAACCAGATAAGGCAACCCAAAAATGGCTGAGCGGAAATCATCCCTGCATTCACAAGAACGTTTCTTTTGTTCACAAAAGCATTCCACGTGAGATCCTGTGCTGTGATCCAGCTATCATTGTGTTTTTATAAGTTTATTTATTTTTATGTTTTAAAAATATTTTTTTAAAATTAATATTTTTTTATATTTTTGAATTATTTTGATGTATTGACATTAAAAATAATTTAAAAAATATTATTTTAATATAATTTATATAAATTTTAAAAAAAAAACAATTATGATCATATTCTTAAACATCCTATCAACATTTTTATAGTTTCTCAGTGGAAAAATACAAAGACATTTTTGTAGTTTCTCCTCCTGAAGACGATGGTGATAACCCAAACTTTAGCTAGTCACCCTAATTGTTATATATATATTTATATTCGATAACACGACAGTGATGGCATTGTTGTTTAAGGTTCCTGTCTTAACAGTGGTCCTATTCTTTTTATGGAAAATGTTTATCTTTTTTTTTTTAATGATGCTCTAATTACAAGATGTGAAATAAATTAGTAAGAAGTCTAGGAAAGAAAATGGTGTGTTCCATCAACCCAGCAGCTACAAAACAATACTCCTGAATTCACATTCATGCTAGTTGAATTCAGATTGGAAATGTCTAGGATTAACATAAATAAACTTTATGAAAGAATAACATAACATCTCAGAGTCCAAACAGACCCTTGCGATTGTAAATTCCAATCCATCAAACACGTTTTCAGTCAGGATTTTCCAACGAGTCCTAGCATCAATATGTGTAGTATAAAGCCTGCAACATCTACAACCACTGAAATCCAGCTTGATTGAAGAACAAAGCCGGTTATCGATTGGCATGCGCTAGCCAAGCTATACAGCTACTCTGTTATCAATGGAAAGAATGATGAAATACATTTTGAAGAAAGGGATTCATCCTACTTACAGGTAAAGCTCATTACATGCTTATGAACAGATACAAAAGACAACAGTTGAAAATCTGGTCCTAGCATGTATCACCAGCAACCTGGGAACTCCGTATCCCCCAAAACGATTGAGGCTTCAACTTCTTCTTCGTGGCAGTAAAAAGCCAACCCATTTGGATCTCACAGGAGGCACATTCCGCAACTGTCCAGGCATAACTGCAATATTTGGCATATCAACCAATCAGTCCTTAGATGATCACAATCAGTTCCTTCTATTAGCGCCAAGTTGCATCGTAATTAGCAGAAACAGCAGCCCGACACACAAGATTTAGGAAACCATGTAACTGTGCGCCAGATGCAGCAACTAACTCAGGGTTGTCTTTGCTCATCTATTCTTACCAATGCACTACTCTTCTCACCACCAATGGTTTACTATCAGAAACAACATAAACCATTGAAACTAAAATAAGTTATTACGATGCTGTTATGAAGGAGCTTTGTAATAAAGGCATGGAATGTTTATCACCTCCATTCAAAATTAAAAGCCAGGACCTTTTTTTTGTACAGGCCCCATTTAGTGGCCCCACTGCCTCAGACACCACTATCTACTCCTAGAGATGTATAAAAGAAAGCATACAAAGAAACCTTATAATGGAGTAAATCAGCTCAGGACCCAGCTCATCAGCCCATAACAAAGAAACTGGTTTAAATGACTCCTGGCCGAATTATTATCCATACATGCAGATATTAAGTATCATCAAAGTGTAATGGAGTTTTTTGAAATATATGAAGAACATGATCCATAAAATAAACCTCACCGAGTTGATTTCTTACACTAACTAAAAACTGGAGGCTTCCTAGGACACAAGTGTGTTGTTCATAGTATAAAAGGTCACCAGATCAACAAGAAAAAATCGTGCAATAGATTATTTAAGAAAATTAAAAGGTCATAGATAGAAGCTGAGTCCATACCCAGGAAACCAGCTGTACTCTGCAGTGGCTCGCCCTATAAGTGCTAGCCCATTTGCTTTCTGGAGTGTCATTATCTCATGTACATAACCAAGTGGATTCACGTAAGCACCAAGAGGACCTTCACTAGACATCACCAACATATCACTCCGCCGAGCAATGACAATCTGGATGGAAAAAAAGAAAGAAAAGGTGTATTTGAGCAAGAAAAGAACAACATGCTTTAGCTTATGTTTGCAGGACAAAGCTGGGTTTTGTCTTAGATTCATAGCTAACCAATAATTTTCAAGGAAAAAAAAAACCATGCTGGTGTCATCATGTGCTCATAAGCAGCAGGCAAGACAAGATGCAGGTGAACATACCGCATGTATGCCCACAGCAAGAACTTTGAAGATTCAACACCATTTTATACCTTACAGGTTTTACATCGAACAAGGTCAAAAGTTTCAAGTAAATCAATTTCCCGACGCAGTCTATATGAAATGCCATCAATCTCCAGAAGCTCCTGCCTGGTCTCTTCAGACACAGGAATTTTACTTGCAATGTAAAATGATAAGAGATCAGGCTTTCTCACAAGACCATCCATGCTTGGCGCCCCAACAATCTGTTTCCACATATCTGCAGAATGTTTAACACGGCTATTAATGATTTTTGAGGTGGAATGACAAACATCAAGGTAGTCTGCAAATTTGTAAATTCAGCATTCCAAAAATGGTAGAGATGGAAGCAACATCCACCATCCGTTCTTCATTTCCTTTCTACCCTTTTCAATTGACACATAACTACAATTCTAAAAAATGTGGATGTGCTTCAAAAGTAAATTTTCATTCTTTTCTCAATATAAAATCTCCATATCTAACCTTTTTTTCTGGATTCTTTTTAAATGATCTCAATTGTGTTGTGTTTCCATTCAAAATTCATGCGAAATAAGTCAAAGCATTTCTCACGAGGCCTTGCAATTTACATTCATTAATTGGACCAAATTCCAGATAAATGTAGAATTTGAGAACACAATTAGTTATGAATTGACAGCTTTCACTTTTATTTCTAACTTTTGGTTGGTAAAGCTAAAAGATGAAGATGATAACCACTAAAATAGTGGAACCACAGACTAAGCTGTATGTGCGTGTAAGCTTGTGCAGATCCTAGAATGCAAGCTCACAGTCAAATTACCTGCTGCTTTTTCAGCAAGACAATAGGAGTCATACATACTGTATACCCAGTAGGGCCAGAAAGTTCTTGGAACCCTTCGAAACTGGTTTAAATCAGTATTTTTCCAACATCTCTTTGATCCTTCCCCTTTCTTTGCTAAACCAGAACTATTCCCAATCTCCAAGGTAGTATTGCCCAGATTTTTCCCAGTGTCCAAATACAATGACCCTTCTGTCTCACTTAGGTGAGATCTTCTCGATATCATTTCTTCTGACTGACTCATGAACTTGTCATCATCACTGCTCATTGATTCATCCATCATGTCATAGCCATAACAGGAATTCAATGCAGATTGATGAATTCTCCTTTCTGCCAGGGAGAGCGCAGTCTCGAAGCTTTCCTCTGAATTTGCCTCTGAATCATTGTCGCTATGCCCATATCCAACTGATGAAAAAGTTGAGGGAAGCCCAGATGAGAATTTATGACCACGAAGATTACTTAATGGTGCCAATTTTCCAAACACATCCTTGGGTGTCCTTAATGGCATGTCTTCCTGAATGATTTGGACCTCTCCACAGGGCTAAACAGAAGAAAATTACACATCAAATCAACATTCAATTATAGAGGTACCTAAAGAAGAGGGATTAATGCTGTAAAATAAATTTGTTCTCACCACTCCTTCCATATCAATCCAACGTCGTTTTAGACGAAACCGCTGCTGGCCACGAGTGACAACATTCAGTGAGCCATCCTCTAACCGCCGATATTGCCGAATCTGTAAATGTACCAAGTTACATAATCCAATCAATTCATAATAGTAAACAACAGATCAAATATGTGTTTGTATATCCCTTCTCACATCAAACCATCATCCCTAATTTGCAGTGTTACTTGAAAATGTATAACAAGGTACAATTACAAACAAAACTGATGCCTCTAACTATAGATATGCTATGAAAGACAGTAAACTTTCACGTGGATTCAAGGAACGCTACATAATAGGCATAAACATATACAACTACACACAAATGAACTTTACATCCTCCTCCAATTAGAAAGAAAAAGAAAACGTGACTGATATCATACAGTAATCATACCTCTGCAGTTGTTCCAACAGTTGCAAACCTTAATCGTCTTTTGTCAGAATCCCTGTATGCATGAACCTGAGCATAGTTTTGAATGTTTTCTAAGAAAAGATTTAGAGAAAGACGTCCCACAAACAGAGCAAGCAAATGAAAAGTTTCCAGATAATGTTCACTTACCACACCTACAGTATAAGGAGCATCAACTTGAACCAATGCCCTCTCAACAGCAGAAATAAAATTGGGTTGAATAACTCTCAAAGGAAGTGTAGCCTCTGGGAAAAGAACAACTCCTGAAAAAAATTGAAGCAGCAAGATTTGTAAACACGCACATAACATCAATTTTCCAAGTCTTTTGATAATGTCATTAGGCCTCAAAACTTGCAAATCTGCAGTCAGTTGGAATGATTTTGAAGCTTATTTTTGTGTCTCTTTGGAAAATTTTAAACCTAGTATTAAATAAATGTTAACTATTTGTTCAAGCATACAGCATGATGAATATGATTCCTGACCAAAAGAACTGTAACCAGGAACTTTCAGTATAACCGATCACCAATTTTTTCTTCAAAAACATACTCACGAACAAGCAGTAAGGAGGATACAGGATGTAACATGTACCTTCAAGATAGAACAATGGAAGGTTTAAAATGGCACCTCCATCCAAGAAAGCAAGTCTATGGTGAGTGTCTTCAACCTCTGCCACACACAAAGCAATATAGTAACTCCCAAGTTTGAATAAAATCAAAATAATAACAACAAATGCCTCAAGATGCCAGTGCCTACCGCCAAGATAAGTATGCAATGAAGCCAAACAAGTGTTGAAGGTGAAATCATCAGATGAACCAGCACCACTATATTCAAAACAAAAACAACATTCAATCTCATTATTACAAAAACCAAACCCTAATTTGCCATCCAAATTAACCATCAAATTCATATTTCTTTCCTTCTCTACCTAGATTTTTTTTTTATCAGTAATAGCATAACACATGATTATCATTAACTAGGTCACAAAAAACAATTATTTTAATTATAAAAAAATCCATATTTAACCATTCAGAAACCCTAATCCCCAAATTTCAACAAAACGCGAAATGATTTACATAAATGATTCTGCTAATAAAACATATGGTTGCTACTGATTACAAGAAATTAACCAGCAAAATAAAGATGGGTGGTGATAGAGATGATTACGAGGCATCACGATCATCGAGGGAGGAGTCCTCGTCGTCCTCGTCGACTTCTTCGACTTGTAATTCTTCGAAATCAAGCTGTCGAATCTGCTCGATCTGGTGCCTCTCAGCCTCTAAAATTCTATCATCCCCCTCCATTTCTATTTTTGTTAGTGATTTATGTTTCTCTTTTAGAGTGAGAAAAGCGAGCGAGTGTATTTTGTTTCAATTTTTATGTACCCGCCATTACAAAATTGGAATCGCCAAGTCCAAAAATAAAAGACTTGTGCAGTGCTGCTGCTCTCTCCCTCTCACTCTCCCAGCACATGCAATTTTGCCATGTCATTAGTTTGTTTAACTTCTGAGCCAGGAGCACCAATGTGGACCCATCTAGTGTTAATCCCGTAACATAAGTTAACTTCCATAAAAAATGATATGTTTTTATCCTCTAAATGCTTAGTAATTAAAAGAGAATTTATTAATTTAGATAAATTAAAAAAATATTTTATATATTTTTAAATAATATTAATTGTAAATTCTTAAATAAAATAGAATAAGATTTAAAAAAAACTTCAAATCTTATTTAAAAAATTAATAACTATGATATTGAGATCAAACATGATTTGACAAAGTACACACACTTAACACAATTAAACGATTAATATCTTCTCCCAAATATAGAAGTGTCGAAATAATAAATAACCTGATAAAATCGAAGTGTCGAAATAATAAATAACCTGATAAAACTGAAGTCGAATCACAAGAAAGTTAACTGTATAAATTATAAATAATAATAATGACGACGACGACTTTGAGATATAAGATTAATGAAAGGATTAAACAATTATAAAATAATTGCTAAGGTTAAAAGATACAGTAATGGTATTTCAAACAAGTGTAGTATAAACTTTTTTTATTACTCAACTGGAAACCACACACAAAGGAGATTCCAATCGGATTATAAATTGTTAACATAATTATATTAGTTATCTTATTCGAAAAATGCTAATACTTGTAAATGTTATCTAGTATTCATGATGATATCTTATGTTAATAGCAAATCAAGTTTTTTTCATAGCACATGTGTTGGTTATACCATATGGTTGGGTTATGAAAGTGTCAAGTATTTGTTGTACAAATAGTTATACAACATAAATCTCGATTAGCCATTTAACAAGCAAGGTAATAAGAGTTAATAAGATAATAAATACAAAACATGTTAGTATCAAACATTAAAGTTTATGTTGAGTTTATATTATACTTATTTTACACCACCAATGTACCCTTTCCGAGTTTATATTATACTTATTTTACACCACTAATGTACCCTTTTCACCTTGACATGATAAACTTAGCTAAACATAATGAAGAAGAGAAATATAGATGGACAAGATAAGAAAATAAATAAGATATAAGTTAATTAGGTAAAGAAAAGTAAATGAAAAGCATAAACAAGATATTAATATAAGCAAAACTTAAGCATTACAATAAGAAAGAAAGCAAGAACATGATCTTAATCTGAAAACCAAGATGCCTAAATGCATGGCAAATGCCTCTTTTATATGTCAAAATTTAAAACTATTGATTTGATGATTAATTATTGAGTGGGCGGCCACATCTTGACTTGGTCACAATTCTTATCTTCTTGTCTGAAGAAAACATCATTGCTAACATCAGAATTTGAACAAACTTTCCTCATGAAAGTTCTAGGAAATTATCTCAGCTTGTAATAAAAAAATTTTGGTGTATTTGGACTTCTATAACTCGAGATATAGACTGACCATTGAACAGTGTCTAAGCTGTAGGACAGATTCTGACTTCTACATTGTTGCTAAGATTTGGAGTTCCAAACAGCAAAATTGAGTCTTACATCCCGCGTGAATGTTTTAGGCCTATGTCTTATCTTTCTAGCCATATAAATCAAATTGAAATCTAAGATCTACAACTCCAGATATGACTAAATGACTGAACAGTGTTTCACTTTGGACTGAACCAACATCTCTTTTTTAAGTTTCACCCTTTCTTTGTCTTCTCAATTTCAGTAGTTGAACTTATCAATCAATCCTTAAATTTTATGTGATAGGCTTGCATTTAAGATGAACATTTACCATAAATTAAATGTATCTTACAGTATCAAACTTATTATTATAAAACTTGCTTTAGTTAAGAAGTTATTGATACTTTTTTTTTTTTTAATATATATACACATAACTTAAAACATGATACATCTTTAACCCATGTAACAAGTTTTCGGTTAATAACTCCATACTAGTTTGCCTTAGGGCATTAGGTGTTGAGACACCCCTACAAGCTTAGTAAATCAGGTTGCAGATATTGATACGTAGTTAGTGCAATTTTGATTCCCTTAAGCTTTTTTCCTCAACCCATGTAACAAATATTGAACCAATAGCTCCCAAGTTAGTTGACTTTAGGGTATTAGGTGTTAAAACACCCCTTTGAGCTTCATTGTTAAGGTTAGGGAGGCTACGAAACTAAACTTATCTATATTTTTATTATCATCAATTTTCTTTGGAAATTATATACTATCCATTTCCCTTAGTTGTTACCTTTAACAAAAGAACATAAATAATATAATAATCTAATCTGCAACCCACAATCATATGTTAAAGTGTGTGTGTAAAAATAGAGGTTTAAGAATATTTGTTAAATGAGTATATGAGTAGAATTAAGTGATAACAATGTGATAGTTTGTAAACCTGAATATTTCAAGAAATATTCTGATAGACCTTATTAAGAATGTTTACTAAGATGCATCTAAAGAGTCACTTTAACAAAAGAACTCCTTACTCTACCATCATAGTAACAATAATTTTGCAAATAGTTTATCAAATATAAAACATAGTTAGTTTTTTTTTTTAATATCAATTGCTATCCTTTCCCCCAACCAAAATAAGACATTGTCCTTGATGTTCTAAGGTAGAAAGATAGAGTATAGAAGACATCACCTGCAACAGCAAACACTAACAAACTTGAAACACATTTAAATAAATATAAGAAATAACAAAATAAAATAATATGTTATTAATAAAAGTAAAAGACACAAGGACTCACAAATGAGGGTTTAAATCCAATATAAGCTTTTTACGGCCTTTTTTAATTGACTAATTTATACAACTCATGGAGTAATCAATTACATGGATGAAAGATTGTAATTGGTTAATCAATTATTTAGCAGTAGTAGTAGAGATTATAATTTGTCACGCCGAAGATGTTAAAAATTCATGTTCCACAACATGATCAAGAAAAGATAACAACTTATCATAAAAATCATTAACATTTAACAGACCTATGAATTTTTTATGAATATGCAGTTGTAAAACCATTAACATTTAACAGACTTATGAATTTTTTGTGAATATGCAGTTGGACCCAAGAGAAAATATGAAAGATCTCTTTCAATATGCCTAGACTACCTAGTAAGGCAATGAAGGCATCAACATCGTTAAATATTGCATTCATTCGATCAGACATTGTGGAGATCTATAGTTCCTCTCCAATTATTTTTCCTATAATTTCCTTTTTTATTAAAGCTTTGAGAACGACCCCCAAAACTTGACTACCTCCTAAAAATGCTTCTATTAACATACCCCTCATTAACCCAAGGTTACCTTCCCCTTACATTAAATGAATCTTTCTTTTAGCTAGTACCTGACCAAGATGATTTGCTGATTCTAAAAACTTATGATGACTTGAGGAACCTGTTATTTATACACACTTGTATATCTGTTGCATGTATGAGTTGAGTATAAATGAAGGGAAAGAAGAGAAGATTTTATAAATAAGAACTTGAAAATGCAATCATACCATCTATATGTAGGTCAGCTAGAGTCTCATACTCTTTCTCTCTTTATTTATTTATATTTATTTATTTAAAAAAAAAACATGTATATGTATAGGTAGTTCTTATTGTGACTCAGATTTTCTCTTAGTTTTACATACAAGAATGACCTAAATGCCCTCTATGGGTCGGGGATAAACTTCCTATCCAATTTTCTTAAAAATTGACAAACAGGATCGTTTTTAGTCAGATTCTCAAGACTATATCGAGCATGTTCTTTATAAAATTATGGTCCTAAATCATGAATTACACGATGCACATCTCCACTAGGATGCGTCTCAAGAGTCAATAGAAGATTATCTAAAGACTTCTTACTTAGGCCATCCTTAATAAATTGTATTTTATCTTCACAATTTATAGATACCATTCTTAAAAAGTAACATGTTGCATTACAAGTTCATCTGGCACATCTGTGACAGATTTTTAGTTGTTTTGCACAACGTTTCTTTATAAAAGTGCTTTTACCTCTTCTAGGCATGTATGAAATGAAAGAATTGGAGGACTCACTTAATAATCAAACATTTGCTTTAATTAGCAAGCGAATATCTTCAGGAATTCCATGATTAATTAACAACCTCAATCTTGCACACCTAGCACTGTAAATTTTTGCAATTGTATTATAAGGCAGAGCGAGAAAATACTTTTTAATTTTTCAAGAGTATTGTCCATTTTCAAATGAGAATTGGAGAAAAGATTCAAAAAACAGAGAAAGAGCAAAGAATTTTACAAATATAGACATAGATATCAGTTATCATGGGGAACTGAAAGAACCAATTTAAGAGTCATGGAGGACCGTTATCCGCCATTTAATTGGATGAGAGAGACTAGCAAAATAAAAGTCACACAAAAAAGAAACACAAAAACAATGTGAGAAAAAGAATCAAGCTTTATATACAGAATCATCTAATTCAATAAAATCATTTTCAATTGAAAAATTATCAAAGTAAAATTTCAAACGATGTCTATTTACCTTGAAAATATTGTCTTTATTTAGATTCTCGATATCACAAGGCCCATATGGATATACATGTTTCACAATAAAAAGACTGCTCCATTTTGATCTTAGTTTTCCAGGAAATAAATGGA